AACGGTAAATTCATCATAAAAGTTTGTTTCTAACAATTTGATTCATAATTAAATATCTGTAGTATAGTTTACTTAGTCGATTGAAATCTCAGTCCGTTTTTCATATTTGTTCGCGTGGAAATAATAAAGTAAAAGAACAGTTTCAAATATCATTGTGCAGAGTTCAAGTTTCCCCCCTCTCTTTTTAATGATAAAGTAAAGCGAGACAAAATGAAGCAGAAATACATGTGTATATTAAAAATTAATTAGATATCAAATGTAAATATATCAATTATGCTAATACAGTATAATAGTTGAGATTGTTTCCACGAAAATACCAGCACAACACAGTCAATGATCACTTCCTATCATAATTATTAAGAAACTTCCCTGCCTTGCCAAGTTTGTACTAACGTTCCGCGCGATAACCTCCGTAATACGTAATATTTTATCACTATGCATAGCACATAAATATTGTATATCAAAATATTAACGGCAGTTTATTGCCGGACAAGCCAAGTAGCATCGTCAGTCGGAGTCAACCAGCGAGAAACGTGTAGGAAACAATTTTGAAATCATGAAACGAGCAATATTCATTCTTTATCTATTTATTGCCCTTGTAAGTATTATATTTCTATAGCGTAAAGAACATATGTATAGCTATAATTAAATTGATATTAAAATTATTAAACAAATATCAATAAGAAAAGATAAAGCTAAAATACATTTTATAAGAGAAAAATTAAAGTAAATAATAAACTTTTTGTCTCCGTGTAAAGAAAACATCTTTAAAAAAAGTTTCTATTTTCATTAATCCTACGATATAAAAGCACTGTTCACTAATTTTAATTCAAAATTTCATGAACTTTAATCTTATTTCTTTTAATTTTAATTTCAATTCTTTTTCAACAAATTATTATCATCAATTATCTATACTGCTAATAGTTTTTCTATATTTGTTACAGACCACAAGTGTCAATGATGATTTTGCGGAGAGAATAGCGGAGGAATTATCAATATCAAAAACAGACATGCAGATTTGTATGAATAAAACAAATGTTGTGCCCGGTAAGTTTACTCGAAATTTGTTATCAACTATTAATAATTAATGGCGTACTTAAGATATCAATTATTGAGCATTATAATATTATTTTGATATTCCATACGAATAAATTTATGTACTTTTTATTTAGGAGATCAAGTTGGTTATAAAATACGAAACCTCGTTTCGTAAAATGTTAACTTACATATCTTATCAACATGAAACTATTCATTTTAACTAATTTCTACTTTCTAGAGGATTTCATGAAATTGGATCAATTAATGTACGATGATGTGAAGACAGTGGATATCAATAAATCTGTTTTAAAAGTCGGTTGTCTATTTGCTTGCCTACTTCAGAAAAAAGGAATGGTAATATTTAAATATATTGTAAAAAATAATTTATACATACAGTCCTATGGGAAGTTGCTGAAACTAATTAGCTGTTATTTTTAAATGCACATAGGGAGCAAGAAAAATAAAATATCTTCTAACAGAGAACATTTTGCAGTTTTATTTACATACAAACGAAAGACAATATTTTTTTCATTAAATAAATGTTTATTAAAAAATGCCAAATATCACTAATTTTAATGGTATATATTTTCAAAGTGCGCACTGTCAGAATTATAACAAAAATTAAGTCGATTTCGAAAACTGTAATTGTAATTATAATTTTTGTTGCATAAAGCTTTTTATAGTTTTCAAAAGTAATTTAATTTTTTTGTTATAATTCTGATGGTGAGCGTTTCGAAAATATAAATAATTAAAATTAGCAAAACTTAGCATCTTTTCATAATCGTTTATTTAATGATAAAAATATTTCCAACTTTGTTTTTGTATTTTGATAATAGTTATATTAGCAAATTATTTATTTTTCATAATTATATTATTCATTAATTATATGTTATGTGAATTCCAGCTTTTAGGTCCACATATCAATGTGGAGAAGATAAAGGAATTTGTGAACACTAGAATGCGCTCACACACAGACAGTGAAGGCATCGCCATAGGCAATCGAATATTGGATAAATGTACCGATCAAGGTTAATACCGATTAAAAGACATAAAATTGAGATATTAATTTAAAAAATATACTTATACTGTATAAATATACTGTAATAATTATATTTATTCGTGTACGTAACATTTCAGTTAAAAGCAAGACTGACGAATGCGAAGTAGCTATTAAGATCCTCCTGTGTGCAGCTACGGAAATAAACCGTTTAAGGAATGTTTGAAAAAGTATAATAAGATAGAATATTAAAATATTATACTAGATTTTAGCAATAATTTAATGGATATAAAATATTGAATTTAAGCAATGTATGCGCTTTTAAGGAGTTAAAATCAATTTTTTCTTGATACAAGTGCAATTATTATCTTCTTGTAATATTTTATCAATTAATAAAAGAAATTTCACCAAAAGAAAAAAAAAACAATATCAAATTTTGTAAAATAAAATAAATCTTCTTAAACCACAGGATAACTATTCATTATAATTCGCTATCAATGCTATATCAAGTTTATTTTTTAGACCTAGATAATTTATAGAACTAAGATGGTAACTATCGGAAGCACGACAATTATTCTAATCGAGGAGAGAGGAAGGGACGGAAAGAGGGGAGAAAGGTGAGGGAAGAAAAGCTAGGCAAATCGTAGATGCAAATATTTGCAAGTACTTCGCGATCGGTAGTCTCTGCGGGTTAAAGTTTCACGACATAAAGAAAATTAGAAAGTCAAATATACATAGATCGATCTTTCATTGTGCATAAAAAATTTTCCTAATAATACAATATATTATACTTATTACAATAACAAAATATTATAAGTATTCCAAATTTGAAATTTTGATTCCAAATTTTGATTTAAAAATATAAAATATATGATAAAAATGTAAAAATAACATTTTTCAAACATAAAAATGTATAAATTTATTGCATTTAAATAATATTTTATAATTCCTGCCAAAATAATGCTACGTCTATCGAATAAATATTACTTAATCTATATGAAATCATCGATAATTCCTTAAATAAACGAACCGCGAATTGCTGAGGGTTTCGAGAACAGGGATCGACTTTAATGATGAGTAACAAGGGGGCGAGGGGATTGCCGAAGTCGCGGTTAATATAATTCGCGGTGCACCGCCCCCGAAATGATGACCGGAAAGGGGGATGCCAGGGAGATTCCACGTTGAAATTAGCATCGCTCGGATTCCGATCTGTGAATGTCCTAAGTTATGGTCGAACAAGAGGACGACTCTGCATGCTTCGCCTATGATCTCTCGCAGTGAATGTGCACGCACATTCAAACTCTGAGGTGGTGGGTAATTCCCTGAGCTTATAGTTCGAGACGCTATTAAGCTTGCTTTCAACCATCTATAATTCGTGAATAAATTTCTATCTATAATTTTAAAGAAGTAACTTACTTTAGAGCTTTGAAAAATTCTTCTTTGATCAATCTTTTTTGCATTTTCCGAGTGTGTATTTTAATTTGTTTCTAAGTCGATGATGCGCAGGCAGATTACATCTGCATTGATTTTGACCGTGTTTTTCTATCTTTTTAGTCGACTCTATCTAGAACGTGCAGATATATGTAAAGTATTTATTTGTTTTATCGTTTCTTTTTTTATTGTTAATTACAATACTTCTTTCGATGAATATTTGAAAAAATATTCATCTTAGAATCAATATTTAATAACGCAAGTGTACGATTTGATAACATTAATGTAATGCACGGTATACTATCAAAGTTTCGAATTCCTATACTTGAAGGAATTTTCGTATAGCGCGCATCAGAAGGAATGCACGAAGTTGTGTGCGAATGAAAACTGCCACGAAATCTCCATTGAAATTTCTACCATCGCAATTTGGCCATGCAAATAGTGGTTGAAAATATTCCATGTGCAATACAATGCTAAAGGCACTTATTTGCGACGCAAGCAATGCGTCGAAATATATATATTTTACATATGTACATATTACGTGTAATGTGTGTATATATAATATTGTAATAAAAACAGTACATTTAACTTCATCTTTTAAAATACAATTGAATCGCCGACAAACTTGACGATCATATTTCAGCTTTCATATTTCGTATTTCACAATTTCAGTAAAGAAACGACTTCGGACATCCTGTATTCCTGAAATTGCGTGTTCAATTTGTAAGGCATGTATATGCACGAAACGGATAAGTACGCTGTGTGTGTGTGTGTGTGTGTGTGTGTGTGTGTGCGCGCG